AACTTATCAAGGGTGCACCCAACACGAGACAGGCTTATAAATCTGCGTGGAGCAGATGGCATAGTTGGTGCATGAAATAAAATTTAAATCCCATATAGGCTCCTTTTATGTCTGTCCTCCATTTTTCTGACTTCCATGATGAAGGTAAAGCCTATCGCACTGTGGACCTTACTGATCGTCCATTTCTGCTGGCCATCAAAGTTTTGATTGGACGCCTGTCGGTTGACATCCTGTCATATATTGACTTCTCTGAGGAATATGGTTTGCTCATTCACCCTTACCACGATACTCTGTCTTGTGGGACGTCTCTATTGTCTTGAATTTTTTTTTTTCTTGCAAGAGGTTTTTCTGACGTACGAGCTCGTGAGGTGGTTGCTCGTTCCTTTACTCCAGAAGGTGTCCTCTTTGACATTTCACAGAGGACAAAAACCTCCTCTAAAATCTATCTTACCCAGTTTTCCCTGATAGATCTCTCCTTTGCCCTGTTGCATACTAATGGGTGTGTGAACATCGTTCTACTACGTTACAGAATCCTTTGAAACAGGAACTCTTCATCTCCTTACAAAAGTCGCGTCTTCCGGTGTCTACTCTAGCCTGGTGGGTCAAATACGTTATGTCTCTAGCAGGTATTGATACCTATGTGTCTGTGCCTCATTCGGTTCGTAGGGCAATGGCTTCTAAGGCTTCCTCGATTGGTTGTCGCTTGGAGGATATTATGAGAGCGGCTGGTCTTCGGAGTCTACATTCCATGATTTCTACTTTAGACCTATTCAACACTTCACAGGAAACATAATTTCACAGCTTTGAACTAGCATAACAGGAGCCTCCGTGTCTTAATAAAATTTACAGATTTTACTATTAACATGACGTAAAATCATGATTTTATTAATGACACGGAGGCGAGTATTATCCCTCCTTCTCATCCCTGGAGGTTTGGTCTTCTCTGCGTAAGTTGACTTCACGGTAAGTCTTTTTTGATTACTGGGTTTTATCCTTGTTAATGACTGTCAAGAGCTTAAGGTTTGACTAAACTGAATTTCATGTTATGTATATATATCTGATATTTCATGTAATGCGAATTTATGCATAAATCCAGTTTTATACTTGGATATTACCATATTCTCCTTTCTCTTCCAGCTTGACTTCGAGATCCAGTTTAAGGCTCGTATACCCTCTAATTGGAGCCCACTTTTTATTTGGATTTGTTGTCCTTGTTCGGGATCGCAAGAAAGAGGAAGTAGTATACTGGACACTGCCTATTATGCTATAAAGAGGATGCTGATTGGCTGTTCCTGTTGCTAGGAAGATATACCTCATGTTATCTACTGGTTTCTTTTATACTGATTTAATGTTATTTTTCTTTGCTGCTGAGGTAAATAAAGAAAGAGTGCAGCATAATACTCGCCTCCGTGTCATTAATAAAATCATGACTTTACGTCATGTTAATAGTAAAATCTGTAAATTATCTTTTGTCTATTTGTGTATCAGACCACCTAGCTATGACCAAAATCCATTCTGCTATCCATGTACCAGACAAGAATACCTAAAACCCCATTACAAGCGGTTTGCCTTATCTATGTACACGTGTCAATGTTCCTGGCCAATAATTTTTTATGCAGACAAGTTGGTGAGTGACCCAGCAGTTGAAGAAAAGCACAGGTTCAACCTTTAGGTCAAAGCAACAGATAAGACAAAGTCCAAACAATGCGTCTCATTATGTTGCTGATCCAGTGACAGTATTATCATACTTTAAGGTCACAACATTATCCAGCTTCAAGTCACAAAATAGGTCTCACAATAGCCAAATATCTCTGAGCTACAGATCATAATCATTGGGTATCCGCATGAAATACGCATCCAGCTGTTCAGTTTGCAATCTGTTTCTTTATATCTATTACATCCCGTAGTGGTTGCTATACAGAAAATATACTTTAAGAATAGAGCAAGTACATTAAATAGGAACAAAATTAATAGTAAATAAACTATTAAAAAAATCTACCATAAATTGTGAGGAACACTGGAGATGATCTGTGTCTCGGTATCTTCTTTAAAAGGAATGCTCAGTTGGAATACATATTATTCCCGAGCAACTAACCTCAGTGAATAATGAAACAATGATATCACTCATCCCATCACATCTGACAATGAAAAGTTGACATTAATTATGCTACAATCAAGATAGTAATTCAGGATAATTGTATTGCCACAGTCATGAGCTATAAACCTGTAACAATATGCTGCTGTCATTTAACAGGCATTCATTATGAAAACTCTAGTTTACAGGTTAAAGGGGTAAAATTTAACTTGAAGGGCATGACTATATGTAGAATATTGCATATTCTGTATGTTCCTATTCAAATACATATTAAGGTGTGGCTGTCTAATGGGTTAAACAGAACAGATGGTGTTTGCTACTCTGTAATATGAGGTCTCTGGAATTTGCTGTATAAGAGATTTGAGGCGGTCTTTATATAGGGAACTTCCTTATATGGCAGGGTCTAAACTAAACATTATGACGTAATTTGGGGTATATAGAGTCAAGGACAAAGGATTACGGTCTCTTCCTGCTACGATCCGTTTGCTCTCCTCTCTGATGTCAAGACGACTCTCTGTAACATCGTTAAGAATTACCATCTGTTAAGTATATATAACTGTTTCCTGTTGAATGTAGAATAAATACTCATTTTTTATAAAGAACGTCAGATTGCGTATTACTAATTTTCAATAATATAGACATATATTATTGTGGCGAGCATTTGGCCCAAGACTATATATACAAAAGACGTATATATATCAATCAACTGAAGATAAGAAGAAATATCTATATATATATATATATATACATAAAAGACTTATTCAACTAAAGAAAAACACAGCCAGTTATTACACTATAAGAATTAACTGGACAAATAACGTGAAATATGGGTAACCACAGTCCTGTGTGGTTGGATCCTCTAAAACTGTCTCGTCTCAAATTAAGAGAAAACATATGTCTTTGTAGCTTTGGAAAGAGATACCATTGGGCCTTTAATTAGGCACCTACAAGGGCCTCTCTGAGAAATCAACCATTCATGATCTAGGTACCTAGAACCGTGGAAACCTGACCACAAGAAAGAACGTATCATACAGGGGAATCGGCATGAATTACAAAACTTGCCTGAAAGAACTATTTTGTTTTTGAAAATCACAATTTGTGAGAATGAGTTATTTAGCTGCTGCCAAATTACGCAGAGTTATTTACTAAAGTGAAAATTGCTTTGATCTCAAATTTTAAGCCAAAATAGTATACCTTGAAACATAGGTAACTTTGAAAATCTTTCTAGTCCTGTCATTTTGGCTTTACATTTGAAATTCACTATAATGGATAACACGGTAAGTCTCTATAATGACATCCCCACCATCAGAAATATACATGTGTCAAACAAATTCGAGATTTAATTCTAAATTGAGGTAGATAGTCCTTACCAAATATCATAATATAGGGAGAACAAAAATAGAGTTGGCATATATTTTTTTTTTTTAATTGAGAGGGAGAGGGTGCATGTATGTTATAAAGACGGTATCGCTAATTAGCATAACATAATCAATTAAAACATTGTATATTGCCACTAATACAGGACTTGATTTAATTACTTTGCATCAGCATCAGAAATTATCACAATTTCATGTTCATGTGGATTTTATGCAGATAATAATTTTCAAAGTGTTTTGGAATGTTGCCAAACGAATTAAATTGAGGCCATAAACTGCACATTGGCACTAAAATAGCCAGTCACCTGGTACTAATATAGAGAGTATGGCGGGAATACCAACAAACAGGACACTGCATAAACTCCATTAATAGACCGTTAACGTTTTATTAAAGACATATACTGATAGAAAATCCCACTTCATGGCAGCCATTGATGATAACTTTGTGAAACGCCTACCAAGGAGTGAAAGCAATGTGTACCTTTAAATAAAATACAAAACAAATTAAATATTGAATGGGACAAGTGAAATATTTGTAAGATCATTATTGTGTATCCAGGAGATTGTATTAGTGTATAATTAATCACTGGATTTTAATGATGTCTGCCTATAAAGAGGTGTGCTTCTGTTTCACGGACATTTAAATATAGGGTTAATAGTGCATTATTTAGGTTTGCGTGTTACCTAATGATTACTGAATAATCACCTTAACCTTCCACTGCGTTAAGCTGTTAATGAAGATAGTTTTGCAACAAATTGATCAAACTATTGACTCTGAAATAGCAGACACACAGTCTGGATACCAAACACGATAGGAAGCTATATTTGCACTGTAGATGTTGGGTGGGTGGAGTATTTAGGTTCAGCCTCAGTTTACTTCTAATTTTTATTTTATTGACAATAAAAAGGCATCTGATTGAGTAAGGCACAAACGTGACCATCGATGCAAAGAGCAACAGAGTCATCAGTTAAGGTTGTGAGACATCATGTACTTCAACCTGTGCTCAGAATGGATCTTCTGAAATTGTGAACAGGTATCTCAATTGGTGGACGTTATTTTAACAATCTTTGTTATGCATCTAATATATAGCTGAATATCATATCAAAGGAAGATCTGGTTAAAGTATGGATTGTGCATCAACGTTGAAAATAAAATGTGTGGAAGTCTTCAAGCAAAACTCATTGGCAAGTAAGTCTTTCTTAAAAAGACTACATTAGTAGCCTGGACTTTTAGTCATATAAAGACACTGGTCGAATATGACACCATTTGCAACAGTGAAATTAAATGAGTTGAAAAGACAAACTCCATTCCAGGCGGACAATAGAGCAAAATAACGCATTGTAATTTAAAAAGTGTCTTCTGTGTTTTGAGTACTATATACAGTATATATATATATATATATATATATATATATATATATAATAAAATATTCCTTGCACTCACGCTTAAGTAGTCCACTGTGCCTTATTAGGCTTGCCGGGTGCCAGTCTTTAGGGTCCTTCAGTGTAATACACAAAACAAAGCAGGCTGCACTCACGGACTTTTAAATTTCAAATGTGGTTTATTCCATCCAAGAAACAAAACCGGTTTTGTTTCTTGGATGGAATAAACCACATTTGAAATTTAAAAGTCTGTGAGTGCAGCCTGCTTTGTTTTGTATATATATATATATATATATATATATATATATATATATATATATATATATGGATCAGAACTGTGGACACATTAATAAAAGTATTGTTAAAACAATAGCAGTACGTAACTGATGTTACAAGTTGTTGCAAATTCCTTGGACATCAAGATGAACAAATATGGCATGGTAAAAATTAGAAAGTAGACCTTGAAATGAATGGCGCTGATTAGTAGATTAAATGCATTTTTTAAGCAGAGTTGTGGGGTATGTACACAAAGCCTCCAACTCTGACTCCTCAATGTGCGATACCACCTATTTCAAATCTATATATTATACGTAATTATATTACAATCATATTACGTTTTACTGTAAAAATATCTCCCAAAAATTACTCCCACTTCACAACCCTGGCATTATGGCCGCATGGTGTGAGGGAACAACACCTCCTTGAGCCAGACTTTGAATGGGTGTATCAAAGAATGCATTATGAAGACAATATCGAATGTGGTTGGAAGTGTGAGAAATACGCAAAGCAATGCCATGACCTTCATACTAAAGATGAAACATATCCATAACACCTTAAAAAAGAGAAGGATTTGAAGCAATATATTTTAACATTTAACATATAATAGAATATAATTTTTCCTTGAAGGATATTTAAAAGTTGGTGTATCCGTTCTGCAATCCACTGTTCAACAAAAATGCTTTAGGGGTGATGGAGTGCCGAAGGTTGCCTACGTCTGACCTAATGTAAAACCTCAGGACACTGGGACAGGGGCCCCAAATTGGGATTGTCCTCTTAATTTGGGACAGCATGGAGGGATGCATTAGACTTACTCAATGAATGTGGGAGACATTTACTATAAAATCTTCAAAACTTGCAACATTCCATGTAATTACACCTTACAGATTTTATTGCCTTTGTTCAGTGTGGTAAGAGATACAATGTTTCCGTCAGTCCCACAGGATTGTGTTTTGCTATGGACTAAGTTATTTAATAGCAATAAGGAACCCTGGGCAGATAAAGATTTGTTTACAGAGTAATTAACAGCAGCGAGTTAGAAGCTGTCAGTAAAAATCATACCTTTCCTATCACAGTGCTGTGTTCTGACAGCCAAGTTTGTGTAATAGGCTGGTTTGGCTCCGGTATGTTTTGGAAACCACATTTTTTTCCTGACTGTGAATGATCAGTGCTGGCTTTAGATTCACTGAGCTGCTCATAGATCAGACAAGCTGGAGTAAATGGACACTGGGCTCAGTATGTTGTATGTCATGGTTCTACATTAATGTCATCTCTATATAGCCACATCGCTAAAAGGCAATAAAGATATGTGGGCAGAAAGGCTTTGTTGTTGGGCAAGAGAGATTGCAGTAGAATAGTGTTTGAACTGGCTAATCAGAGCCCTGGGAGCGGCATTGGCTGTAAGCGGATATTTTAAGTTTAGATTGTGAAGCAGTAGCCAGGAGTGGATGATAATGTTAACAAACACAAACGTCCAAAACATAAAAGGGGATTAACACATTTCTAGTGAGACTGTGTCAAAGCAGAACTGGAAGTCCAATACAAAAATATGTATGAGAGATATCGCAGTACGTGCAAACTATGGGTGTACAGAGAAGCTAGCACTTTCTTTAATGACAATGGATTTGCCTTGGCAGTTATGAGTGTGCCTGTGAGGTAGGGGTTGTATTAAGGTATTCAGAGAGAGCTATGGGTGTACCTGACAGCTACAGTTATATCCCAAAAGCCATGGGTTTACTTGAAAGATATGTTCTCATATGAGACATATGGGTGAACCCCAGACGACGGATTTAACTGAAATGTATGGTTTAATGTTGATGGCTATGGATTCACCTGATATAGCTAATCTAGATTATTTTAAAACATTATCACCTATATGGCTCTTAATAACTCACTAGACACAGTAACCAGCTGGTACTAAGGTTAGCACCATCTATTTAAGTCTTTTGGTGTTCCTGGTGAGGAGCTCTCTGCATAAAAGCAGATGACTCCTTCATGGCAGTCGAAGTTGGCCTGGACTATTAGAGAACTCTGACCTTGCAGATAATCGGACATTCCGTGAGATAGAGGACATGGGTGGGGTGGTTAAGCCAATCTATGTCAACATGTCATTACAAATCAATTAAAGGGAAACTACAAATCAATTAAAGGAAAACTGACATTTTTTCTGGAATTTTCAACACTAAATAAAATGTTGAAAATTAACTATAACTTGTCTTAACTTTTTTCCCATGAGATGCTCTGCGTTCCTTTTGATTATTAAAGATTTCGACAAGAACATCATAATCCAGTTCAGACAAGGCAAAGCCTGGGCACATATTGCAAATGAAGAGGAGAAAATAAACATTGTTCATTTCTCCTCTTCTCTGTCTGCTCTCTCTGTGCTGACTGACAGGTGCAAAGAGCAGAGCTTATAACAATGACTGACAGGACTCTAACATGGAGGCCCCTAGTTGTAAGAAGCTACATTTATATTATTTTTTCACATCACACAAATACATATTTTTCTGTATATATATATATATATATATATATATATAAAAGAAAACGTAGTATTAAACATCCAGAGAGGTCACAGCTGCCCTTTAAGACTGATTTAAAAATATTCATTTGAATTATGGATTATTAAGTAAAAATGTTGAAAATTAATGTCAGCTTGGTGTCGTGGAGACATCAATAAACCGCTCACCCTTCATTCTATATATAGATCATTTATTTTCCTCCCGACAAGAATAGCCTTGTGTACATCACACTTGGATCTGCCTCGCAAACTGCATATATAAAACCATAAAAAGTAATCAATCATTTAGTTAGTGGAAATGCAAACAGAGCGCCACTCTCAAGTTATTTTGCCAATTTGAGCGTTCCACTTGATAACTATTAGAATAATAAGGTTTTGCAACAATGAGAAGATTGGTAATTTTGCTCAACGCACAGAGGATTGAAGTTTTAAGTTGGTGTGTGTTATCTCCAGGCAGCGATTGGCTCCCGATACATATACTTCTTTTTGAAGTTCTCTGCCTCTCTGTGTTGTGTAATGAATTCTGTCACTCTCAATTGTGTTCCTGAGCAGCGAGCAGGCGAGGAAGTTTGCATTTTGATTATAAACCTGCAGTCAGTTCTTATTATGATAGAAAATCCATTTCCATATGAAGCTTTAAGACACTTATGAGCTATAGCTTTGCTGTTTCTGCCAGTTTGTCAGTGTGCCACAGTCTGTAAGAGACGGAATGTGTTTAATTTGGACACTGGCTCAGATTCTTTTACCACAGGGGGCAAGCCTGCATGATTGAAGGGAACACCAAAACTGCAAAGGAATGGCCATCATTCACTCATGGAACTCTCCCTGTGTTTAAATGTATGCATTCAAAAATTAGATTATTTATTCCTTTCTACGTTAAAGGGACACTATAGTCACCAGAACAGCTACAGCTTAATGTAGTTGTTCTGGTGAGTATAATAGCTCCCTTAAGGCATTTTAATGCAAACACTACCTTTTTAGAGAAAAGGCAGTGTTTACATTGCCCCTAGGGACACCTCCAAGTGGCCACTCATCAGATGGCCACTGGAGGTGCTTCCTGGGTCAGTGCTGCACAGTAAGCAGCCCTGCAATTCAGCGTCTCCACACTCTGCACGGTGACGCTGAATTTTCCTCATAGAGATGCATTGATTTAAGGCATATCTATGAGGATTTGCTGATTGGCCAAAACAGTGTTTGGTCCCACCACCTTGCCGATTTTAGCTAAAAATCAGCAATTCTTATGTCACTAAGAGGGCGGGGTCAGCTGAATTTTAATTGTTTTTAAGGGGGCTAAGGGGGGGAAGGCAAGCCCCCTTAAAGGTGGGTTTTGCACTTTAAGGTCAGGAATATATGTTTGTATTCAGGGGCGGGCTGGGAAGGGGGGAAATTGCCCCCAGGGCCGCCCGCATCCATCAAAAAAATGAAAAATGCGAATCCCCTGCCTCTGGCTCTCTTCCTGCCTCTGGCTCTCTCCCTGCCTCGGACTCCGGCCCTGCCTCTGGCTCTCTCCCTGCCTCTGGCTCCGGCCCTGCCTCTGGCTCCGGCCCTGCCTCTGGCTCTCTCCCTGCCTCGGACTCCGGCCCTGCCTCTGGCTCTGGCCCTGCCTCTGGCTGAGGTAACGAGGACCATCTATTACTTGTTCATCCATCTAAGGATATTTTATTTATTTCACGTGTATGTAGATTTCAATTTTTATATTTTATTTCCCAAACATGTTATTGCTTTAAATGAAACAAAACTCCCCGGCCTAAGGTAAGACTCAGGGTAAGACTACACTTTATTTTTTTTATTTTTTTTGAATTTGAATTTTTTATTTACTTTTTCGAATATGCGAACTTGGGGGGGGGGGTACAGAAAAGAAGAGGGGGGGGGGAGACAGGTTATCAGCATTCGCGTTTAAACAGTTGTACAGTTAGACAGTTATACCATTATACAATTATACATGGGCTCCTAGGTTTATGTACTTTTCCCCGCTATTCGCCATTCGCGTGTAAACATTTGTACGGTTATACAGTTATACCATTATACCATTATACAATTGTGCATGGGCTCCTAGGTATATTTACATTTCCCCGCTATGCGGTTGACAAAGGTTTTCCCTGGCATATCTCCCACTGCGTGTTGCGTGATGTGAGCTGGGGCGTTTGCTTTTACCCCTAGTGGGTGATGGCGACGCCACCTTTTGTGGGCCCTGGTGGATGGTTTGCTTTCTGCCCACTAGTGTGACTATAGCTTATCTACAGCTTCCCGCCCTCATACCTCGGATGTCGTGCTAGCCTTCCAAGTCTTGTGTGCCTCAAATATATGAGTGCGTATCCCAAATTGTGCACACTTTAGTTTTTTTTTATTCCCATCCGTCAGCCCCTGTCCCCTTAGTCAGCCCCTTTCCCAAATTGTAGCCATCAACCTACTTCAACCCCTATCCAACCCCCCTACATTTCCTAAACCCCCAATTACAGCATA